CCCCTGCTGCTGCTGCTGCTGCTGCTGCTGCTGCTGCTGCTGCTGGAGGCTGGTGGATGAGAGGCTCCGGGCAGTGGTCCGCTCCCGTGTCAGTCGTACGGAGGTTGGCGTGTTGGTGGCCAGGCGCTGGCTTAAGCCTCCGGGTTCCCGACCCTGCCTCCGCGGCTGCTCTTCGGCAGGAGTATAATAGCTTTTTGAAGGCGTCTGATAGGAGTGTTGGGGCCCATAACGGCGTGCCTGGCCAAGCACCTGTCCCTCCTTCTGCCTGGAGGCATAGGATATCCTCCTCGTGTTCCTGGAAGGAGGGAGATTTGTGTGCCCTTCACACTCACTGTCCTCCATTTCTGATTCAGAAGGCGGGCCTTTGCCCACACCCACAAGCACACGGATGTTGGTGCACCTCCCACAGCGTGGACACGTCTTGGGCTGGGAGGGTTCTGTGTCCTCTTGCTGGCCCAAGTAGGATGGGGATCGTGGGACCTTGCTTCTCCATTCTTCAGGGTCTCCCACAAGGCACTTGCGCCAGTGTTTCCTGGGGTACGGGCCCACCCAGGAGGAGCTTCCTGGCATGTAGCTGGGATGGCCATAGTAGGTCCCCGTTGGGAGACTTTTGGGGCTGTAGTGGGTCCTCCTTAGGTGGGCAGGAGGGTAAGTGTGGCTTGCTCCTTGGGCCAAGTCCCGTCGGGTACGGTATCCCCTCCAGTGGGCTTGAATGGTGGTAGCTGCCTGCTGGCATTCGGAGAGGGCCTGGCGAGTCATGTAGCCCCGATAGTGTGCCTGGATGACCTGGGCAGCTCTCTCCCTGTCCATCCTGGGGTGCCCCCGGGATTCTCTTCCCCCCCCAAAGGATGAAAGGGAGGATGCTCTTCGGCGCCTGTACACTTGCTCCAGTGGCACCTGCTGCTGCAAGGCCCGGTACTCGCGGGCTATGTATTGCCTCCAAGCGGCCTGGATGGTGGCGGCCGCAGCCTGCTCAGTCATGAGCTGCTTCCTGGTGAGGTAGCCTCGCCACGTAGCCTGGATGGTGGTAGCTGCCTTGTCCATGAGCATATCAAGCTCGTCCACCAGGAAGGAGGACCGCCGGCGGGATCGGCTGTTGCTCCGGGCTCTCACTTTGGCCAGCTGCCGATCATGGCGCTGCTCCTCTTCCTCATCTGTCACCTCTTCCTCTCCACTTGGATAACTGTAGGAGCACCAAGGGTGATCCTCATAGGTCTCCATCTAGAAGGGGAAATGCAGGGAAGTACTGACACCCTTGAGAGAGAAAACAGAGATCTGGATCCCCAAAGGAAAATAGAGAATTCTGGGGATGGAATGCAAGTGGCAATAAAAAACATCTAGAACTGCGAATTTAAAACTTTTCCCTGACCTTCTACTGTTTCCCCTCTGCTCAAAGGACCTGCCATCTTTCCCTCCCCCTCCTCCTAAATTTGTTAAATTTGTATGCCACAGAATCCTACCAACTCTCTAGAAGCTTATAACAAGATAAAATACCATAACCTCTTGGGGCAAGCTTTAGAAATTAAAACTAGCATGGTTTGGTAGCCAGTGCGCTATCTAAGACAGGTTAAAGGGATCATAGCAGCTAGCTCCAGTCAACAAGCAGGCCACCAACCATGGTGTCCAAGTGGTCTTCAGAGGCAGCCCCACAAAGAGTGCGTTGCAGAAGTCTAGGTGCGTGGTGGCAGGGGCTCGAGTCACTCCGGCCTAATTTGTCACATTTCAGGACGAACTGCAAGTGGCACATCCAAGGAACGTATAGAAAGCCCTCCTGGCCACAGGTTCCACCTATCCATCCATCCAGGGGTGTCCTCCGAGTATGGTCAAAAAAGTCCAAGATGGTAGGTGCAAAGGTATGATCAGAGCTTTGCTTGTTTTTTAATGTGCAAAATCTATGTGGTCACCAAGAGTCAACACCGACTTGATGGCACATAATAAAAAAACACGTGACACACATGAAAAGCAAGTGGAGGTTCAGTCGCACTATTGTGCCTGCCATCTTGACTTTTTTGACCATACCCTGTAGATACCCCTGCATCCAGCAGTAGCTGTTTCATCTCTTTTCAGGGTTTTCTGTAACATTCTGCTTAGGCCTGAGTTTCTAGTCCTGAAATTTAAAGACATCAGTTTGCTTCAGACTTTCCTTAATCCGCCTCCACTTCCCCATCTCTCAATCTGCCATCCCCGTCTCCAAGTGCCTTGAACCCCAGCGATAACTTCCACTGTAAAGCAGCCCACCCTAAAATTGCTGTTACAAGGTGCCATCCAGCTCCCAGGCAGGAAGGAGGCAAGATGGCTACCCAATACCCGGGTCCAATTCAAGGTGTTGGTTATTACCTTTAATGTAATACATGGCATGGATCCAGAGTCCCTGAAGGACCGTCTCATCCCCGTCACATCATCCCGTCCCACCCGGTCATGCAGAGAGGGCACGCTGTGGACCCCGCCTGCAAGAGAATTTCATCTGGCGGGGTCCAGGAGGCGAGCCTCCTCTGCAGCAGCCCCTGCCCTGTGGAACACGCTTCCGCCAGCAGTGAGGTTGGCCCTCACTGGGTTTTTCAGAAAAAAACCGAAGACCTGGTTCTGCATCGCGCATGGGGCGGGGATGGGAATAGTTGCCGTCTCTTGTGTTGGGGTCTGAGGTAATTCAGGAGTTCATGGCCACCATGATAGCCATGGGCCTGTCCCAGGTCATCCAGAGCTCAACACATAATGGTGGTCATACGCCCGACCTGTTTTTTTCTGTCGGAGCAGCGGCAGGGTATTCTGGATTTGGGGGAGATACTGGTTTCTCCCCCGTCGTGGTCAGATCACTCCCTGGTGAGCCTCCAGTTCTCTGGCGTCACCCCGCTCCGCAGGGAGGCTGGACCTAGAAGATCAGTCTGCCCCAGGTGACTGGTGGACCCAGTTAGTTTCTAGACCGAGCTTGGGGTTGTTCCAGAAGGTCTGCTGCATGGTCTGATTGAAGCCCTGGTGGCCACCTGGAACAGGAAGGCAGCTGAGGCTTTGGGTCGGATTGCGCCTGAGCAGCCTCTCCACACCCATGGATCCCGGAACTCTCCGTGGTTTATGGATAAGTTGAGGGAGATGAAGTGGGCGAAGAGATGCCTTGAGCGTCGCTGGCGGACAACACGGAGCGAACTCGACTGAACATGGGCTAGAGCAGCTATTAGACCAGTGTTGTCCAAACTTGGCCACTTTAAGATGAGTGGACTTCAACTCTGACCTACAGGGTTAGGGTTAGTACACTAGACTCTGATGGATTTGCTCTGCACTGGACACCAGCCTTGAAGCAGGGCCAGT